GTGATTCGGATTACACAGGACGATGATATTCTTTCTCATGCCACTCGGAAACGTGTCGTTGACGAGGTGAAGCGTATCCGCTCTATTGGCAACAAGGGCTCCATTCCCGTTTTATTATGGGCAAGTATCCCTTGCACTGGCGGAACGGCTTGGTCTCATATTAACATGAATCATGACACGGCGAAAGGGAAGGTGAAGCGACATCGATCCATTTACAAAAGAATTTGGTCTGCCTTCGTTGATCTCGTGAGTTCCATGGAGTTTGCCAAACCGTTGATTGCTATTGAATGGCCCAGGAGTTGCACTTATTGGAATGAGAAAGCTGTTGACAAGTTCATTATTCGAAACAACATGACTTCTGTTAAGTTTGACGGTTGTGCTGTTGGTGTCAAAACTACTGATGGGATTCCTATGAAGAAACCATGGACTGTTAAGACCAACATGCATTGCCTCCACAATTACCTTGATGGAAGGGTGTGTTCTTGCACTGTTCAACATGCTGAAGGTAGGGGACGGAATCTCAAAAATATTGAATCCTACACGTACATCATGACCGACTTGATTCACAAGGCTTTTGCTTATGCAGTGTCGGTTCAAGAGAAAGTTGCTGACACACGTGCTCTAGTTGCAATCATGGCTGAATCAATGCCTGTCGAGAAGGCCTTGAAGACGGTGCGTTCGGCATTTTATGCGAGGCACTACAAAGAGGTGCCGCTGGCTCGGGTTGACTATGGCTCGGACTACATCCTGCACGATGGAAAGGTGAAGGCCGAGGTTATTCCCGACGAGCTGCGCGTCGCCAACCGAGAGGCTTGGTCAGACATGTTCCGCGATGCGGCAACTCAATCATTCATCGTCAAGGACGTGAACTCCGGCGTCGACCTTGCAGATGCGTGAACGAACCGATGCTCTGGCTCTCGCCAAGAACGCCATGACATCATCGACAGGTGCTGCGGGTATTCTCAAAGAGGCTCCGGTTGAGGCTTTCGATATCCTCTTCTGCCCGGGGAAACCCGCGGTCAACTATATCTGTTTTTCGGCGATTCCTTCAATGCGTTGGTCAAAGATGGAACAAAGACAGATGTTGGCACCATCATTAAGGAGAACAAGAGGACTCTCTTCGGCCACAAGCATGAGGTGTGGTCTGAGATGACGTGGGGGAAAGGGCTCTCAGAGTCGCTTGACGCTGCCGAGCGAGCCATGATCAAGCTCGCCGAAAGGCCTGAGCCCAGACCATATGTCATTGTCATTTCGTGGTCCGGGAACGACGTTGTCGGTCGCAATGGCTACATCGACAACCCCGCTGCCCTAGCTGGCTGGGCCACGGATTCCGAAGCGAAACGGAAAGCGGCGATGGACATCATCAAAAGGAATGCCAAGGCTGTGATGACAGTTCGTGATCGACTTCGTCACATTGCCTACAGGGAAGATGTCGTCCAGATCGTCCTCATTGTGCCGAGAGACTACGAGACCTACGGGCTGAGCAAATCGTATAAAGTCCAGATGGACGGGCACTCTCGAGTACTGCACGGGTCCGCAGGCATCACCGTGCTAGACCCTCAGACCCTTATCTCCAACACGTCTCGAGCTGACCGTATTCACACGGATGACAATGAGCGGAACAGGAAACACTACATTAGTTATTTTGTAGCCGCTGCCAAGCTCGGTTATTCCATCGGTCAGATCACTCGGTTTGAGAGCGCCATGAACTGGTATCGCCTCGAGAGGGAGTATCTTGACATCAATACTTCCATCCCGATCGTTGGCGCTTCACCCCAGGAAACTGACGGTCCGGCAATTGCAAAGAACCCCGAGGACCCATTCGACAACGAGGTCCGCGAAAGGGAGTTGGAGGCGATCAACGAAATCGCCGCGCAAGAGCCGAAGCGCGAGATCTTCCTGGAGGCTGAAAAGGAGGCAAACCCCCTCTATACCCCCTTGACACCGTCAAGGAGGAAGCAAAGATCTTGTACATGATGCAACCTGACATTCACGCGGCGACCGTCAGCGGTCTCAACGATGTGATCGATTGGTCTTCTTCTTCGGATGAGGAGGACCAGGTGATCAGCTTCGACCTGCCCCCTGGCTCTCAGCCTAAGGTCAGCCGGCCGAAAGGCCAGGCCGTTGAGGTTGCCGCAGTGGATCCGAATGATGTTGGTGAGGACGGTCAAATCAAGCTCATCCACACCTCCAAGCGGAAAAGTCACAACAAGATGACGGCAGCCATCAGTGCTGCGACACCGAAGATGAAGGCAAAAGCCATGCCGAAGCAGGCTGCCTCGTCCAGTGATCAGGCGTCCGTGGCTGGAAGTAGCAAGACTCAGCCCGGAGAGATCCGTGGCCCGGAGATTATCCCCAAGGCGAAGGCAGTCCCCAAAGCTGCTGGAAAGCCCGGGGAGACCCGTGGCCAGGCTGCGGAACCAAAGAGGGAGTGGATCAAATGCTCAGGAATCAAGATTCCCTAGATTGAGAACTATGGCAGAAGAACTTTCTTGAGCAAGAAGGTCTCGTATTTGGTTCGTGGACATGCACACGAACATGCGACACGATCTATCCCTGAGATCAATCTCAAGGACAACTCCTTCGATTACGCAGCCGTTGCCAAATGGATCCAACGCCGGTATGTGTTTGCAGGCCACGAGCACGTCAAGCAGGTTCGAGGTCTATGTGGAGTACGCGCCGGCCGGGCAACAGTGGAATGGACTCAGTTTCATGCCGCTGCGAATCCGAGCGTTCACCGGGCACAACGACTGGGTCACCGAGGCAAGCGGCTTCGACAATATCCCCGGAGAGCCCATTGCCATGGATGTCAATTACACCATTGAGCATGCCAAGAAAGGGGTGCGACCGGGCTTCTGCAAAGATTTCTCGGACGCACGCCGAAAGGCGCTGCCCAAAATCGCCTTCCACACGTGCAGCATGCAGAATTTCGTTGACATCATTTACATGGGCATCTTTCCTGGCGGAATGGGCGACCGACAATCCTCACGTGGTCACGCCTACCTAACGGTAGTGCCTCGTTGGGACAGGCATGGCCGGAAGGCGGGGGGCGCGCGGGCTGACCGGCCCATCAACATCGCCGTCGATGTCGAGATGTTGATCCAATTGGGCTGTAGGCTTTACGCACCCGGAGACGGGGAAGCCCTTGTGACCGAGGATTGGATCACGAACAAGGTCCTCATTTATGCCTATGATGCTGAGTGCGCGAGGTTCATCTGGTCCAATCGCATGTACGTCAGCGTCAAAAGGAATTACCAGGACAGCATCAAGAAGTATCGTGAGGAGACTCAGAAAGGCGTGATCGGGACCCCGGTGCTTGAGTCGTTTATGGCAAAGGTTGACCGTGAATGCAAACTCTACTACAAGCAATGGGCCCCGACTGCTTGCCGCGACATGATGAGGCCTCACCGGATTGGAAACGTGACAAATCAGGGACGTCTACGACGAGAACCTCTCCAAGGAGGAACAGGTCGCCCTTGAGTTTGAGACTGCTCGGTATGGTCTTTACAGGAACTGGGCTCGTGCAGTAAAGCAGCAGCCCGGGGAGACCCGTGGCCGGAGCGGACTTTGGCAGGACCTGGACCCCAACAAGAAGAAGTCGACCAACTGGCGCTTCGCGGAGGTCATGCACATCCCCGATGTCGAATGCTCACGCTGCAAGATCATTATCCCTGTGGGCACAATCAATTGCTATCAATGCGACAACCTCATGGAGCGCATGCCCGACATCAAAAAGATCGCAAGAGTTGTCCGATTGCAAGAGATGGCCAACAGTTTCGGCGTGCCGCTTTTGATGGACCAGGTTGAGACCCAGATCTTGACGCAGCGAAAAGACGCAAGGGGGGATCGGAGCGCAAGAGGGGGACTTGGGATCATGAAGGACATTGCAAAGAAAGCCGTCCTTCGCAACAAGGAGTACAACACCTTGTGTGAGAGGCTGATCAACGACCCCTTCTACGCTTATACTGCCGCGCGGGGAGACCTGACGCCCTCCGCCCTCGAGTTTATCGAGAAGGTGGCACGATGCATTATTCCGAGTTTCGAAAGGACAAAGGAAATGATCCAAGGAAGCGTTGCTGTGCCAAAATATCACGCACGGCTAACGCTGGTGCCGCCTAGCGAGGACGTGCAGGAAATCGATCCCAAGGACGTGTATGTGGTGCATGGTGGCAGATTTTTGGAAACCGAACAATTTGCCGCGTTGTACGGGAGCCTTGACAAGAGCAACCGCTATCCCGTGATGGGCTGGAGCCGGGATTTCTCATCGGTGGGAGATCCCGAAATTGCTTTGTTTCGTTGAAGAGGAGATCCCCGGCATCCAAATCCCTGGACGAGCCACTCCTCTCCCTGCAGTTGTCGGAGTGACGCGCAAGCCCATTCCACAGCTCCGGGAGACCGGTGGCCAATGGCAAGATCGACAATGGAGCCAATCGTATTGGGGAAGCTGGGGCCAATCCTGGGACTCGTGGTGGTCTGATGATCAGCGCCCGTGGAAGAGCTCCCGCAATTGGGATTGGCGGTGAATGAGCGGTCTCTTCAAAATCATTTCAATCTTCGGCTGACATCCAATTACACTTCAAATTCACTATTCTTTATACTTGTCAATCCATGTTGGCCGAGGATCAATGTACAGGCACGAGCACGCCTCGCGAGAGCGACGGTCAGTGGAGGCGGAAGACCTTAACTGCCAGTTGCTCGTATCCAAGTGCTTGTGTGCTGCAAAAGACTTCATGCCGATCGGGTTTCTTTGGTTGTTTCATCCCTTTCATTTGTCCTCCTGTTTCACATTCGGGCACGGGGGGTGTAGTTTGCAACGTGATGTATTTATCAACCATGTAAAGCCCCAATGCATGAATGTCTCACTAGCGCAGTCTCGCCGTTACGACTGCGCGTGGCTCAAGGAAAAAGCGCGCTGTAGGCAGGGTTCATTGGTGACCCTTCCCGGTTGTTTAACCCGTTCTATAGAAACGAGTGGTAGGCCCGTGGAATGCAAGCTGCAGGTTTATCCTCTTCCCTCCCCTGCTGGGCATGGCCGCACTGCTGCCCTACCCCGTGGCCAACCAGAGGGACCGCTGCGCGCGCCAGGACTTGCTGCAGGAGCGGCGCGCTGTGGTTTGTGGTGAAGGGGGTTGGATGTCAAGACGAAGGGTCCAAATAGTACGAGATGATTGCACATTCCTTTGGTTTTGCAGCATCTGCCCGCTCCATTGATTTAATTTGGGCTCTTATGAAGTACCTCTCATTTCAAGAGGGGTTGGGGGGGTCCAAAGCCACCAATCCAAAACCGCCAATTGTCTTTTTGGGTTATATGCTCAAACGTCACCATTCGGCACATGTTCTTCGCTGGAGGGATGCAAGGAAGCCTGAAACGAAGCGCTGAATGGGAGTGGGCTATCAACTTTGGCAGCCAATTAGACCAGCTGCAACGAGGTTTAGTTGTGGGATGTTGTGCGAGCCTTCCCGCACTTCAGCATGGGATTCAGAGCTCCCCAGGCCAGCCGAACAAACCGCAACCACTCGAGCAGAATGGTGTAACGAAGTGGCGTTGGCCTGCAAGTTGGGATTTGCAGGCCGGAGATCCGAGAAGATATCCAAATACCTTCCACAGGCTATGCTTGTAGAGCCGTTTCAATAGTCGTCAGTGTTGCATAAGTCGAGGCGCAACAGAGCACAATTTACATGGGGCCGGGCGGGGTGTGGAATACAGACGACATACCTTTGAATGATTGAGGTAAGCGCGGTGTAACAGGCAGTGCCTTCTACAAGAGTTTGGAGAAGGACACCCTGCATGAGACCTGCCAATGGGAGCAGGAGCACCCTTGCACTTAACACAGCCTGGAGGTGTAGTCTTTTTTGTTGGGGGCCGGGGGGGGGGGGGGAAACGCATCTCAGGCTGTCAGAAGGGCGAGTTGGGATTTTGATTTTTGAGGCAAGTTCCCTTCCAGCAGTGAAGGAACAGAGCGTCTGCACTGGTTCCTCTCATTGAGACACCGCATCAACATCAAATGGCGTGCCCTCATCAGCATTGCACTTGCAGTTTGCTGGTTGTCAGAATTTGGGTAACCTACGTTGACCTGTTGTTTGTCCTTGTGTGTTGTTCGCGAGCCGGGGATACCAGTTGTGCATCAAGTTATGTTACCGCAGCATTTGGTACGTGGGCTCCAGCATTTTCTTAAAATAGAAGATCTGTTCGATTTTGAGCTTGACCTGACCACCCCAAACATTGAACTGCTTTGAATTAGATTTTGTTTGTTCAACCGGTGTGAAGGACTGCTGTGCTCGAGGAACTTGGGTGAGGTGAAAAACAAGGGGCTCACTTTGGGCGAGACTAGCTCACCCATGATGAAGGTTCCTCTCTTGGGACCGTTCTTTCAGCTTGGAATTGATTGTGCCTCATTCAGCTTTGCGAAGCCTGTCCACATTTCACAAGCAAGATGAAAGGACCCCAGACTTCAGGCTGTCCACACTTTTCCGAGGTGCAAGCAGCGGGGAGGCTCTGCCTTTCACCAACAAAGCCGATATCAAGGTAGAACCCCGTGCTAGCCGCTTTCCAATTTACTACGACCTGAGCGGAGAATTCAGCCGCGTTGGGGAACTTACCCCTCAAGGTTGGACGAGAAGCCGGTTAAAGAGCCCTATCAGAACTTTCGATGGTCCTCCACTGTTGGCATGTGTTTAGGTTTTTTGGCTTTGGTGATGTTGGTTTTGATCATGTTGAGTGGGGTCGTGCGTTTAGGTTGTTTGGTTCGTTTTTCGTTGGGGCCGCCCAAAAGCCGCGTGTTGTGCCAGCTCAAGTTGGGCCTTTCGCCAGGAGGGTCCCTGTAGCCATTTGGCGCACGGCCGGGGCGTGGAGGCGGTGCTGGGCCCAGGGGACGTGCTCTTCCTGCCGCAGACGCTGGGAGCGAACGAGAGCTGGGACTGGGGTGCCAGTTGGGTCCGACGGATAAAGCTGGGGCTGATTAGGAGGAGGTTCTTGTAAAGCATGTGTGTTGTTTTTTGGACGTATCCTTTGAGTGACCCTGCCTTAGCATCCCCAAATCCTCGCTGTTGTGTGGGGGGCGTACCCTCTTCAATGCCCTTAAGGCACAATGGAAACATGGTTTGCTGGCCTTGTGGTACCACAAGCAGGTCGGAAAGGTTCTGGCGTCTAACATGGCTAGGTTGAACCTCAAGTGACTGACTGATTTGGACTTGTTGCCCTGCATTGATAGGTTGAACTAAGCAACCCTGGTCGGAAACCATGCGAGCCAAGCTGCATGCGCACCCTGCCTCATCCAACCCGTACCCGTACCAACAGCAGGCAGAGGTGATGTTCAGCGCAACCAGCAGCATGAAAGTTAAGTCTCGGTGTACGACATCTTCTTTGCGAAAAGCCTTTGACTGTCGTTTGTCGTTGGTTGGAAGTTTCGGAGCTTGTTTGCTCACTGATGTACATGCTTATTGCCGTTCAAGGTCTTAGGAATGTGTTCGGTATGTGCTTCGTGCATTTGGTGTGTAGCCCAGTGTCATCCTGTGTCCTGTTGCATGTGGGGATGTCTTGCGTGGCCAACAACGAGCAGGTGCACATGCGGAAGTACATAAGCCGCCCAGATTGCTTGAACGCAGCTGAATGGCATGTCGGCAGAATCTGCGTGGCACCAGGTAATTATGCATGACGCGTGTGTCTGTGTGTGTGTGCTTCCAAAGTAGTTGTGTTACCTGTTGCGTTGGCAAAGTGTCCCGGTCGCGTTTCTCAGGGCCCGAATTCCAACCTTTCCGGTACCCTTTGTCGAGGTTTAGCGCTTCTCTGAGGATGTGGTGGCACCACGTGGAGTCCCTGTCTGCAGAGACGGTCTCGGTGTCTCTGTGGCTTACCACGCCGCGGAGAACGCGCTGGCTGTCGCCGTTTCCACAGCAACAAGCAGCGGAGCTCGCCAGGGAGCGCGCGCCCTAGGGGCAAGTGGGGGTTGGGCCCCGAGGCTACGCTCCTTGTGCCTTTCTGTGAATTGGGGCTCCCCCAAAGGAGGGGCCAGGGCAAAAGATCTGGGCTGCCAGTTCGTGGGGGTAGCCATGCTTTTCACGGGATCCAAGTTGTCGGCTTGCAGTTTGTCAAAGGCTTTGGGCATGTCGCAAGGCATTGCTTTTCACAAGTGGTGGGTTCATCAAAGGAAGGGCCAGGTGGGCACCCAAGCTACTTGAATTCTCCCACTTAGCCAAGCACGCGCTCAATGGAACAGAAGACAAGGAGATCAACCCGTTCAATCAATGAATCAATGAACATCGGCCGTGCGTTTCGGTTTCTCACGAGACGAAGGCTATGTTTGTCTTCCGATCAAGCTGCAGGTGGGAGTTCTTCTTGGCTTCCGAGATCGGTGGGGGCCTTGAACTCGAGTCGCTGGTTGCTTTCGTTTGTGGAGGCTGCCTGTGTTGGTCGAGAGCAGCAACACAACATAGCTTATAAGGGAATGCTGGCATCCAGCAAGAAGCAGTTGTGATCAGCGCCGCTGAGACTGGGCTTGCGACCTCTTCAGGGTTGGGGACATACCATCTAAACTCTAAACCAACCCTGTGATGAACATGGCACCTTGCTGTCTCCTCGCTTTGAAGCTCTGCTCAGAGCGGTTCCAGCAACTCGAGAACCTTGGCTCCTCTGAGTGTTGTGCAAGCCCACTTTGGCAAGTCACACTTTGCACGTTCTTTGGCTGCTCTGTGATGTTGGCAGGGGTTGGTTGCCTCAGCGGCCAAAGTGGCTTGGGCGACCCAAGAACATAAAGTGCGGATCGATTGCCAATCCACCCCGGTACAGGGTTCCCTTTTCTTGCCAGGCTTGTTTCAAGGGCAGCCAAGAAGCCGAAGAGTCCAAGAGTTTGTCTGAACTGGCCCCTTTCCAAGACAGGAACCATTATCTGGACGTTTCCCCATGTCCACGTGGCTATTCGAACAGATGTTCGGGCTTCGAATCCAGGGGAAGGACCAAAGGACCAAAGTCATCCGCATGGCACCAGGCTATGGGCCTGAGCTCGCCGCCTGGCCGGTCAAAAGAGGGCTCTGAGACGGCTGCTCCAGGGTGGCAATGCGCAACAACATTTTGTTAATGTTGAAACGCATGTGGAAACATGAACTGTGTTTGAAATGCTTGACCATAATGGCCCCGGCCATTTTGGCTCAAGCTTTGCTCTTGGGTTCTCTGAACCCAACTTGTGTGAAAAATATTGAAAGGTAGCACTTCCGAACTAACCCCGAACCAGCAATGGCCTCCTCGGCAACTTCGGCAACTTCCTTCGAGTTGATTGAGGACCAGACACTCACCGCGGAGGAGGTGGAAATGGCCAGCCAGGAGGCCCAGGAAGTCCGCACACGCGAGGCGGCTGTGGCGGCCGGCCTGGTGTTGGATGAGCCCGAGGCGCCCCCGTCGGCATCGGCCACCGATGTGATGAACGACCTCTCCAGTGCACTGGAGCGGCTCCGTGTGGCCTTCTCCACACCGACTCCCGGCCTGGGTGCCCCTGGCCCCGCCGAGGACGAGGACAAGGAGATGGGCGATGCGGTCACCACGGAGCGGGCTACTCCACCAACGAAGAGGCTGAAGGGCTTCGTGGCGGCCTCCCAGAAGACCACGGCCCCGGTGAACAAACCGGTCTCCCTGGTGCCGGTGGATGGCCGTCCTGGCTATTTCAAGCTAGTTGACCTCCCAGACCTCTTCCCGGTCCTTCCGGCATCGGCGGCCACGTTGCTGAGGGACGTCACGGTGGAGGAGGCGGTCTCTCTGTTCCACAAGTTTGTCGGGAAGAATCTCACGGAGGACTTGGTGGTTCGCATCCTGGAGGCTTATGTTCCGATGAAGATCCAGATCCGGCAAGAGGAGGTCTGGGCCTCACAGTTCCAGCGGAATAAGGCATGCATTGGCACCCAGCGGATGCACAGACTCGATGCCGGCCACTCGGACTACAAATTCATGTGTAAGGCATGCGGCACGGGGTGGCCGGAGGCAGCCAATCAATGCTGGGTCTGCCCGGGCAAGGAGTTTGTCCCCTTCCAGGCACCCTCGGCTACCTACGAGGCGGACGGCGTCACGTACAACCTGCTCATTGTGGAGGGCAAGCATCCAGCAGCGGGATGGGGGAAGCCTGGGTGCCGCTGGCCCCGGTGGTACCCGGGCACAGGCAGACCGCAACCTGGTGGACGGCACGATCCTGGGGAGAGCTCCTCCGAAAACGGACACGGCCGAGGAGATCACTATGGCTGACGTGGTCCCGCTTAACAGGCGGGTGGACATCCGGCAGGAGATCCTGTCCATGGAGGCGGACGACGAGGCGTTGAAGGTCCGGGAGCGCCAGGAGGTCAAGGTCAAGGTGCAGCGGTCCCTGCAGGAGGCAGAGGCTCAGAGCTTCCAGCTCTACCACCCCCAGGTGGACCAGGCGATCCGGAGTCTGGGCGATGAAGAGGCACCAAGGGGAGCTACGGATGTTTGGGGGGATCTGGAAGAAGCACTCCAGCGGTGAGATCCCCAAGGGCGCGGACCAGCAATTCAAGCTCTCGCCGGAGGAGCTCCTGGCCCTGGAGCGCAGGACCCACCCACTCACGTGTGAGCGGGACCACATCGACCCGATCATCTACTCGGCCCTGGAGATCCGAGCGCAGGTTAACCGGGGTGAGCGCCCGGCGCCGGAGCAGGTGGTGGGGATCTTCTGGGCTAAGGGCGATGGCGTGTTTTGGACAAGGCAGACTCGCACGTGGGACCTGCCGAGCTTGACAGGGGTGTACGCCCATCGCTTCACCTTCAAGTACATCTACTCGGCTTGGACCACATTCCCGCTGGTCGTGAAGACGCAGCGACGGGGCCGCAATGCGGAGGGCTCGACTTCGGATAAGTGGATGGGGAACATCCTCCAGATACGGAAGGAGGCGGTCCCCTTCCTGGAGAGCCTGGGAATCCCCAAGCCGCGCAGCAAGGCGGAGTGGAGCTACATCTTTAAGGAGATGGGGACGTTTCTGGCAGCCAAGAACTTCATCGTCAATTGCCCATTGCCGGTGATGGAGCTCCGGCCCCCGTCCACGACAGCAAGGAGGCCCTGCGTTTCAGGGCGGTCTGTGACGAGCGAATCACACTTCCGCTGTCATCGTTGAGGGCTTTTGACTCGGTGTACACCAAACTGGTGGCGGGCCTGAGTTGGTGGAGATCAAGGTCAACTGGCGTTGCAACGTGGTCCATGACTGGGTGGAGCCGGTCCCGCAGGAGGCGGCGGGGGCCCTGTACGACCGGCTGGGCTACTCCCAGGACCTGATCAGGCAGCTGGGCTGCTCCCCCCCCTTGGGTGCCTCTGGCCCCGGGGGCGGGGCGGCCAAGGAATCGGACCCCAAAACCAAGATTCTGGCGGGAGCGGACACCACGCTCCGCACGCCGGACCAGGGTACCAGGCGGTACCCCCCGATCACCACGTCCACGGTCACGGCGGTCGCGGGCCGGAAGTACATCAACAAGCACTTCCCGAATGGAACCAAGCACGTGTTCTGGGCCTCGGTGGAGTGCGGCCTGGTCCTGCCCAGCATCAGCGCATGGGAAGTGGTGGGCAAAGAGAAGTTCAAGACCACTGGGGGCTACATGTGCAGGTTCTGCAAGGGCTTCTGGAAGGCGAGCCGTGGGGGGACCAGGCTGCTCCAGATTACGGGCTGGCACAAGGACAAGGCCACATGCCTGCAGCTGGTGATGGACGAGCCCCCGGAGCAACTCTATAACCAGTGGATCCGGGACAGGATGGAGTTCTACAAGCGGGTGGAGCCGACGGAGCCCCCAGGGACGAGCGGCTAGTCCTTGGAGATGCGAGCACCCCGCGCATGCGCTTCAGCTCCTCGAATGGCCTGGGGGATGTCTCCACTGCCCTGTGGTCGGTCATCCTGAGCAACCCAGAGAAGTCAGGGCTGGCGGCCATCCACTCGGTGGCAAAGGAGGCGATCTTGAAGGGTGAGAGCCGCTAGGTCGTGTCTCACTACCCTTTTGGAGGTGGAGTCGTATGATCTCTCCCCACCGGGACTTGGGTGCCTCTGGCCCCGTCTTGGGTGGGGGGGAGGTGTTGGGGTGTTTCCCTTGTTTTGGGTTCATCATTCACCTTGGTTTCCCCCCCTGTTCAACACGCCACGACTGCCGGTTTGCCTCGAGCCGGAGGCTGCGCAATTTGGCTGCCCCAAGGACGGGCCGTATCGGCCGCTGTTTGAAGAAAGTGGCTGCGGCTGACGCTGGGCTCCCTGAGGTCCCCTTGGGGGTTTTGGGGAATCCCCCGTCGGGTGGGTCTTCCCCCCTCCGTGGTTCTTTTGGGGATTTCCGGGGGGGACTCTTTGGGCTTGGTGGGCTGCATGCCGCCTGCCTGCCCCACGCGCACTCGGCATCAGGAAGGGTTGGTCGTGTTTGCAGTTTGCCGCGGTTGGGTCCCGGCCATTCGATAGGAGGCTCGAACCCTTGTTTTCAGCATGGCTAGGGTCTCTACACAGTTTCTGTTGCGCCCGCCTTACACTCGTCTTTGGGACCGCATCCCAAGGGTCCTGTGGGACACGCTGGCGGATGAGTCTATCTCCCCGAGACAGACAGACGGGGAGTTGCTGGTCCTGATGTGCCTGCGCCATGGCACGGCGGAGGAAGGGAGGCAGCTGGGCGGGGAGCCGGCTCTCCGCTTCGCTCAGCTCCTGGAGCTAGCGGGCGTTCCGGTGGGCCAGGCTGACCAAGTGGTACCAACGGACTACTTCAACGGCCTGGTGGCGTCGGCGGCGGGCAGGCTTCCCCAGCCTTTGTCCGCGGGGGACCTGGCCGACCTTTGGGATAGCCTATGGCTCCTCCTCATGGCGGCTGCGGACGGCAAGCTCAGCGAGAACTTTTCCCCGCTGGAGAATGAGTTGGACCGCCAGGACCAACTGAGGTGGTTCTCGCGAGATGACCCACCCCCACTCCAACAGCCGGAGCTTCTGAAGTGGCGGCACTGGAGGCCCGGGAAGATCAGGGAAATGGAACCCACGACTCAGCGAGCACTGGAACTCCATATGCGCGGGAAATGGGCGGAACGGCTCCTTGCCCACTTCGCCCCCTTTGCGGAGCACATCGCATACATGCAGGACATCCTGGGGGAGGACTTCCGCAAGGAAGCACTGGACCTCTTGGGGGATAGCAGGTTCCGGACGCTCAGGCAACACTGCCTGGTCTACGAGAGTCTCCGCAAGAGAGGCTTCACCGTCATCCCATGGCAGGAACGACATGTCCGTTCTCTCCTCAACCAGCTCGCCGATGAGGAGGTCACCCCGTGCAAGTTGCGGCAGGTGTGGAACACCCTCAAGTGGTTCTCCAAGACCTTCGGACTGCTGAAAATAGACGAACTCCATCGCCTCAAGTCCAAGAAGAGCTCA